CGCGTCACCAGGGCCAGGCTGCTTGGCTGGGGCCGGCGCCGGTGCTGGGAGCCGAAATCACGTGACTTTTGCATCCTGGCGTCAGACCGCAGATGAATTCGGTTTGAAGTTTCGAAAAGATGTTCTCAGAGATGGGATGTTTAGGTCAGCTGTCATTTCCCTTTACGTGTTTAAACTGCACGAAAAACACTTCCTTGTTGATCACTGTTTAACCTGAGAATTGATCACTGAAAGATGTTGCGGCAACCTTCACAAATCCCCCAAAACCAAAGCATTTCCCTAGTGCTCGGGGCTGGCAGCAGGCGGAGCTGTGGGGGCGTCCCGGCGCGTTCCCAGCTTGTGTTGTAGTAGGCTCAGCCTGGCCGCCTGCTTCTTTCTTTCTTTAAGATTTATTTACTGATGCACACAAGAACTGGGGTGCAGGCCAGAGGTGCGGGGGGTGGGGGCGTGAGCAGACTCCCCAGAGGCAGAGTGGGGAGTAAACGGGCGGGTTGACTGAAAGCCACTGCTGAGGGGAGCCGTGGGGAGACAGGAGGGGTCTGCTGCCCTGGGGGTCCCTCCCTGGCCGGGGGCAGCTTCACCCTGCTGCGCCACCAAGGCCCCGGCCTCGTTTCTGGAAGCTGAGAGCTGCCTCTGAGCCAGCAGTTCAGGCAGAAACTCAGCTTAACGTGGACGCAGACACCAGAAGCGCCTGGCCGGGTGCCGGGCGGCTCCCTGCGGCCCCGGGCCCGCCCGCGCCGAGCTCGCAGAGCTTTGCTGGCCTTCAGGCGGCCCCTGCCTGCTGGCGGTCGCTTGGCTGCCCTTCCACCGCTGGGCTCCCGGCCCTCCTTTCCCGGTGACGCGCTGTCTTGTAGCTCCAGTCGCCGTGGCACTGATGATGGTGTGGTAGTCTGGCTTGCCGCTCTGACTCACGTGCTGGGGCGTCGGGGAGCCCGCGCCCGGCAGCAGCCGCGGCAGGAGCCATGCTTGCCCAGCGGCGGCTTCCTTACAGGTGTAGAGACAGCCGTGGTAACGGAGCACCACCGAGCACCGACCTGTGATCTAGAAACGCTGTGGTTGGCTGCCACGCAGGGTGGCTTCTTCACGGCTGCCGGCCGTCACCGCGCAGCGTGCAGGGCGTGCGGTGCAGCATGGGGAGTGCGGGAAGCTGACTCCCCGCACCTTCGTGCAGCCCCGTAAACAGGCAGCCCCAGCGGAGCAAAGTGGGGGCCGAGACAGCACTGGGGCACCCCTGGCTTCCACCAGGCTTCCTGGGTGGTGACCCGGGGCCTGTGCTTTGGAGGGTGCCGGAGTCGGCTGGATGAGGAAGGGGCCGGCCTGGAGCCTGGGCGCTGCCCGCAGCCCTGCCGGCAGGAGGCCCCGGCACGGAGCCCTCCCGAGCCTGGGGGCGAGGGGTGGGCCCTGGGGTCACATGCAGTTTCTTGGGCCGCAGTCTGGGCTTGAACTGTTGGTGCCGCCGTGACGTTGGGCGGTAGGTGGGTAGCGGCCAGTTTGAGGAGCATTTGTCCGATGGGGCTGGCCGCGGTGACCGCGCTCCTGCCGTGGCCGACCGCTTGGCTGCGGCGCACACACTGGAGCGGCTGTCAGAAGGGGCTTGGGGTGACGATGGGGAGTCTGGGACCTTGTCGTTGGTGGCAGGGAGGGAGTGGAGGGCCGAGTGTGCGGCTGGTGGGGCAGAGCCGCCGGGGCAGGGAGCGGCCTGGTCTGGCAGGGCCGACCGCACGTGTGCCAGGCTGCCCAGCCTCCGCTGGCCGGCTGCGTCAGGAAGGGCTTTTTGTTTGAATTATTTTCAGTTTGTGCTTTTCTGATGTGCAGACGGGTGTTTGTTTCCGAGAGCCACAGCCCGACCGTTGCGGGTGCGTGCGCCCGTGTGCTCGCGTCCCGGAGTTGTGAGGGGCTCACGCTCCCTGCGCAGGTCAGGTCGACGCCCTGTCGTCAGCTGTGGGGCCTCTGCCGTCTCCCCGCAGCGACTTTGAACTCTGCTGGGAGCCGGCACCTTGCCCAGGAGAGCGCGGCAGAGCCCGCCGGGCCTCCGGCGCGGGGTGGGAAGTGGACGGGACCCGCTCGTGCCCGTCCTGCAGGCCGGCGAGACGGAGATGGGGTCACCGAGTCGCGAATAAGCCAGGCCCGCCGCTGGCGAGTGGGCCGGCTGGTGGGTTGTGCGCGACGGGCAGGGCAGCCTGGCTTCGCGTGCTGAGGGCGACCCGCTGGGACACCCGGACGCCGAGTGTCACCGTGGGTTCTGGCTGCTGGGAGCCGGGCTGGGCCCCGGGGCAGCAGGACAGGGCTGGTGCTGCAGCGCCAGAGATGCTGGAAGTGTGGGGGTTACTCTGTCTTTGGGGCTCCTGCCTCTGGGCCAGCCAGGCGAGGCCGTCTGGTCGTGCAGGCTCCTGCTGCCCACGGGAAGGCGCAGGCACTCCCCTCCGCGCCCGCTCTCCGTCAGGGCCGCCCCGCCCGGCTGCAGGAAGTGCCCCTGCGCCGAGTCTTTCTCAGCAAGTGTTATGACTGTTAGCCCGTTCTCGTCACTTCACCGTTTACGTTGAAATGCGTGTGGGGGCGGCGGTGGGGCCGGGGTTTTCTTTAGTACTTTCTGAAAAGAGCGCAATCTGGAGCTAGTTTCTGCTCAGACCCGCTGTGGTCGCTGCGCAGGTGGGGTGGGGCCAAGCCACGGGGGTGCGGTGTCTCCCAGGGCCCCGCGGCCCCTCCTCCAGAGCCACACGCGCGCCACCTTGGGCACGCAGCGAGAAACCGGCCCTCTGTGACAAGTGCCACAAACGCCACTGTGTCAGGGCCACCAGGGCTGCCAGCCTTGTCCGGCGAGGGCCAGGAGGTGCCTCCTGCTGCCTCTCCCCCCGGCGGGCGCCGCGCCCCTGTGGGCCTCGGGCAGAGGACACAGCTCCAGCGTGGCGTGGGTGGGGGTCAGCCCCAGGGAGGGTCCTCAGTCAGGCTGGTCCCTGGAGCAGCGGGGAGACCCCCTCCCTCCACACCTGGAGGGCGAGCTTCTCTCCAGCAGCCTTCGCGCCCAGCTCAGGGAACTCCCCGCGGGCTCCACGGCCCTTCCCGAGTGGAGGAGGCGCCCCCCCTTGCCTTGGAGTCCAGGCTGGGGCCCGAGGCGTCTGCAGCTCCGGACAGCCCGGGGACTGGAGTGGGCCTGGGGCGGCCCCACCACGCCCTGTCCCCGTCCCCACTCCAGATGGGACCTGGCGCGGGGCTGGGGCAGCCGTTCCACCCGCGTCCCCCCCGCCTGCCTCCGGCCGCCGGCCGCGGCCTTGCTTCCTGGCCATGTGCGGCCCCGGCGGCCCTCCCCGAGGAGGGGCAGCTGCTTCGTGGGTACAGGCAGCAGCCTGGGGGAAGCTTTCCTGCGGCTTTCAGGGCTCTGCCCCCTGGGGTTCAGGCCGCAGTGAAAGGGAACCAGTGGTGCCCTGAGCAGGCTCCCTGGAAGCAGCAGTGGGGTTCCGAGCGGGGCGCGCCCTCGCGTGGAGTTTGCGCCCAGGGCCCCCGCAGAAGGCGCCGCAAGGGCGTGGGCGCCTCCACCGAGCCCCGAGCCCGCCCGGCTCTAGCGCCCTCCGCCTACCGAGCGCAGACCCGCCGGCAGACCTGCCGAGGCCGCGGGACACGGTGGCGGGCCGCACACGTCTGGGCCGAGGCCCTGTGGCCACCCCCAGGAGCGCTGCCTGGCAGAGCTGGGACCGCCCAGGGAGCCCGGGGCGCCCGCCTCCCCCCAGCAGCACGGCCCGAGACTTCCTGGGGCTCCTGGGTGGTTCCGCTTCGGCCTCCCCGCCCCTGCCTGAGTCTGCGGGTTTCGGAGCCGGAGCGGAGGGGGCCGGAGCCCCTCGACCTTGGCGGCACCTGCACCTCCGTCGCTGCTTCCAGCGCGTTCTCTGCTGTTCCCTGCCGGTGTGGGGCGTCGCGGGCCCGACTGGCCTGGCACGGTGGAGGCGTCACGTGGTGGCTTGGACTGAGGCCTGAGCTGGCTCTGGCCCCTGCTGGGCACCGTGCGCCTGTGCCAAGGAGGTGTTTCCTCGCGTTCCTTCCGGGAGGGGTGGGGTGTCGGCCCGACGCGGGTGTCGGGTGTGGTGAGGGAGAGCCGGGAGCAGAGGCAACAGCGCGTGGCCGCGGCCTTGCACCTCGCACCGGCTCCAGGCCTGTGGGGCCCACGCGGCCGGCGTCTGCCGAAGGTGCCGCCCTCTCCTCCGGGCGCCAGCGTTGAGCACGGCAGGCCTGTGGCCTGGGAAGCTGAGGCAGCAACCCCTGGCGTGCCCGTGGGGCCTCCCGTCAGCTGCAGCTGCTGACCTGGACGCCGTCCCCCCGGCCGGGAGGGAGACCCGCCTCCCAGTGCAGGGCGGCCGGGCCGAGGCCAGTCCCTGCCT